GCTGAGGGACAGCACCTAGGCCCAGAGTTCATGTCCCACGACCAGCAAATACATATATATATATATATATATATATATATAAAGAATAGAAGCTGCTGTGCACCAATCTGTACTTCCAGGTTCAATTGCTGGAACCTAGGTTTCAGAATTGTGAAAGTCCTCAGAATATCTATCTAATGTTCAGTCTGCTGTGAATCACTTTTCTTTTCCATGAAGTATAAAGATGTTTAGAAAGAAAGGTTATTTTATTAAGATATTAGGCCATTTCATATCACATAAAATTGAAGTTCAAGTTGCAATGAAGCACAGATTCATGTTTAAATAGGGAGCCACTGACATGAAGGTTATCAGGAATAGAAGAGCCAGAGTAAGCACTGTGGGGCAGGAAAAGCTTATCAGACTGAAAAACAAGCCAGGTGCTGGTGGCCAACCCCTGTAATCCTAACTACTCAAGAGTCTGAGATCTGAGGATCATGGTTCAAAACCAGCCAAGTTAACCAGCAAAATGCTAGGACTGGATGTCTGGTTCAAGCAGTAGAGTGCCAGACTTGAGTGGAAAAGTCAAACAAGAGTGCAAGTTCCTGGGTTCAAGCCCCAGTACTAACACAGACACAGAGTGAAATGGCTAAGAACAGGGCACACAGGGTGAGAGGTGGTAGAAGATCGATGCTGCCTTACGCTTTGTGAGGATTGAGAATACTCATGGGGACCCTATGCCAGGGTGCTTTAAACATCATGATGCATACAGAATCCTTATTTTCTTCTTTATAGCATAGAAAGCCATTGAGGGTTAAGATAGCATGTTATTTCTATTTCCAAAGATTTTCAAGATGGCATAGCTGCTCTGTGAGCAGCAAGTAATTTGTAGGGGCAAGAGAAGCAGAAAGAGCAATGAGGAGTGATGCCAGCAGCTGTTTGAAAGCTAGCTGTAACCGTGAAAGAAGTGAGACGCACAGATTCAGTGTCTGGGAGGTGGGAGAGAGGGGCCTCACTGCAGTAGCAATTGTGACTCATTTCAAATGCAGATGGGTAAACCTTAAATGAGAATTCATAGGAAGACAGTGTGGGTGCCAATGGCCCTGGTCAGCACTAGGGGGCGTTGGAGAAATGAGTAAATTTCATTTTCATTTCTACGAAGTAGAAAGATCATCTTCTTGGGTATGTTATTAGCTTACACTATTTATACAGGAGGGATTTCATTGTTCCATTTCCACATGTGTTTACACTGCATTCCAGCCAGTTTCCCCCTACCACCTTCTTCTTGCTTGGAGGTGGCAGACTATGGAGAACAATAGTGTGGTGTTTCACATAGATGTAGGGATGCACATGTGTTATGATTGCCTAGGTGTTTGGGAATTCACCTGAGAGCTGTGGTTATGTTTCTTGGAAGTTATGTTCAGCTGCTCAGCTGGAGGAGAAGGGTAGGTGGAGGTTGTTCAATAGAATAACACCATTACTCTATTAGTCCAGCACAGGGAGTGAAGACCAAAGATATAGAATATAAACACAAGAATGTAAATACAATGATGGAACTGCTTTTATAGCCTGGTGAGAAGGTAAGATGGTAAAGGAACAAAAAGAACCTGAAACACATTTTTCAGATATTATTAGGTTCTAAAGGAGTAACTTAATGTTACATTTTATGATGATAATTGTATCATAATAGTTTTAGTGAATTCAGTGATTCACAACATCATAAAATCATTAAAATCATGTGTGTCCTCTGTGGTGGGCTTCTAACTCAATATTTCTATTCAGATCTAAATCACATCCTTTTATGCCACCTCCTATAGATAGGCTTTCCAAGGTACACTTTTACCATAGGAAGAAGCTCCATGCAGCACAATTGATTTAATATCTATTTTCCTTTTTTTGTTATTGTAAAAGTGATGTAAAGAGGGGTTGAAGTTACATAAGTCATGTAATGAGTACATTTCTATTTGAATGGTGTCACCTCTTCCCTCATTTTCTCCCAGTTTTTTCTTCCCAACCCCTTTCCCCAACAAGTTGTATAGTTCATTTTCAACATAGTGTCCAGTGAGTATTGCTGCTGCATTTGTTCCCACCATTTCTGTGCACCCCCTACCTTCCCCTAAGCAGATAAACTTACATACTAGACAAAAGGTACAGAAATTTAAAAAAGCAACAAAGGAGAAAAATCCAAAACAAAAACAGAAAGCAAAATAACAAAATACCCCTTGTTTCCATTTCTTGGAGCTCATTTTGATAACCATTAAATTGTACATAATCATATGCACATAGCTATTGAAACTTTGTGGTCCTCTCCTAAGGACATCCTCTATTAGACTCATTGTGTGGATGTCTATAATCCTGTATAATTTATCATGTCCAAGTATTTAATATCTACTTTCATCTTAAATACTTCTTGTAGTCCCTATCTGAGATGCTTCCTGCTTGTGTCAGAACTAACATATCTGTATCTCCTTAGTTTGTATGAATGCAAGTCTTCTAAGAGTTCCTCGAATCACTTTTATAAATCATATGGTTGTGCTAATATGGTGCTAAGAATATTGGTGACAGTGTTACTTCCTGATACAGGCAAGGGTTTTCCTTTGTGTTGCTGATCCTTTTCTCCCATACTGAACACAGTAGTATGAAAATTGAATTCTTGCTAGAAGTAACAATGGCAATGTAGAATTTCTTTATCCTGCAGACAGACATAGCAATACCTACTATATCCATAAGAGCTGTTAAGTATCTTCATTACCACAACAGCTCAGAAGATTTTTAAATGTCATTTTATATCATAATGTTCAGTTGTGTAACATATAGAACCATGTGCAGAGTCCATAGACTTGAACTGAAAGCCTGTAACATATATTAAAAAAAACTAGATGGAATGGGCAAAAGTATGGAAGATGAAGACAGTGGGTTCCATAGAGATGGATATTGACACAAAGTGTTCTTTCTTTTTACTTTTATAAGTTTTATTTACTTTTTCATTTTTATTATTAGAGTATATTAATTGTACAAAAGAGTTCAGTTATGATATTGTTTTTTATGTTTTTTTATTGTAAAAACAGTGTACAGAGGGGTTACAGTTACATGAGTAAGGTAATGAGTACATTTCCTATGGAGTATTTTACCTCCTTCTTTGTTTTTTCCCTATCATCCCTTAAAGTTCATTTTCTACATTGTGTCTTATACATCTCATTGTTACAATGAGTTAGCCTGTATCCTTGCTTCAGGGTTTTGTTATGTCCCATGGTCTCCCTTATTTGCAGTAACTAGTATAAGTCAAGGACAAGCAGAAAAGGTCAAAGGCTACGTACATATGACCATATAAGATGATGTTAACAAGCAGAAATGGTCAATAAGTTGATGTTAGGTGAAATGAACCCCAAGATAAGGACTCAAATGTTTTTTTTCTTTCTTGCTATTGTTTCTAACATATTTATAAGATTATTTCTTTGTTACTTTGTATATCCCTCCCCCAGGGTATAACCCCTGCTTTCATTATATTTGATGTTGGTATAATTTGTGGAGGGGAAGGGAAAAAAACACATTGTTTAAATAGAGATACAGGTGGACCCATTGCAACAATGAGATGTACAAGACCTTATGTCAAAAAACGAACTTTACAACTTTGCTGCAGGCAGGGGGTTGGGGGGGGAGGATGGGGAGGGATGGGAAGGGCAAACAGAGGAGGAGGCTACAATGCTTGATAAGAAATGTACTCATTACCTTGCTCATGTAATTGTAACCCCTCTGTACGGTATTTTCACATTAAAAAATTTTTTTAAAAAGATGATGGTAAGTGAAATGAACCCCAAGATAGGGACACAACTGGTTTTTTCTTTCTTGCTTTTGTTTTTAATGTATCTAAAATGTACTATGCGATTGTTTTGTTTCTCTTGTATGTTCTTCCTCCACAGTATAACCCCTGTTGTCCCTGTATTTGATGTCGGTGCCCTGTATCTTGTATATACATTTTTTCTAATTTGGGAAGGGGAAGGGAAATAGCAAAGTGTTCTTCATTTGATTACTGCTTAGAGTGCCTGTAAATTTCTGACCTGCTCCGTTTCCAACCTGGGCCGGTTCACCCCTCCTTAGGCAACCTAGTGTTCCCCCGCTCCTGGGACGTCACCATATTGATGCCAAACTTAGTGCAGAGGGTCACCCCATCGGCATAGCGCACTGCAGCCCAGAACTCCTGGACTCAAGCGATCCTCCGGGCTCAGCCTTCCCAATAGCTGGGATTACAGGCGCGAGCCACCGCGCCCGGCGCCTGTAGATTTCTGGAAGACAGAAATTCTAATTAATTATCTTAGGAAATGAAGAAAACAAATGTCCTTAGATCTTCCAGCAAACCAGCTTGAAGCAAATACTTTAGAATTAAGAATAAACACAATTGACACATGTAGACCAGTTTAAAAGAGAAAGAGATTCACAAATAGGTTCAGGAATTTTTTTAAATTGTCTAACAGCACATATGTACTAACTTAAGAGATGACCAATTGATAGTGTCCTTATTTGGACACTGTAAATACCATAGGTTGATCTCTCCTCAAAAAGAAAAAAAAGACAGCTGCAGGAAGAAGAAAAGGTTATCACCAATACAAATCAGATCCTGGAAAGAAAGAGAGCACCTAAAAGTGCAAATATTGTTCCTTCAACCACTCAACACTCTTGGAATAAGGGGTATACATTGAAATCTTCCCAAAGAGGTACAACCATTCTTTTTTCAGGTGTCCCTGAATTGGTCAAATGTGAGGGTTGAAAATAAAGGTTCACTACAACATTCTGACACAGAAAAGAAAAACAAAGCCCCAGAAAAGGCAGATTGTAAAACTGATCATGGTGGTTAGAGGTTGACCTAAAATCAGAAGTAGACTTCATCATTCAAACAGGTAATTGTAATCACTCCCTAGACCCCAACTCAGCTTGTCAGTAGTCTCAGACTCATACAAGGAACTCACCAAACATGTCTCATTGGCAGGTGTATAAATCACCTTGTACCACCACCAGCAGTTTCTGCCATGCTGCTCCTCAACCATTCCAGCTTCATTCTGGTGGGCATTCCTGGCTTAGAGTCACAGCATTCGTGGCTATCGGTTCCTTTTTCTTCAATGTTTTTGGCTATCCTCCTTGGTAATGGAGCTATCCTCTTCCTGGTGGCCACACAGCCCACCCTTCACACACCTATGTACCTACTCCTGGCCCTGCTGATGACGGCTGACATTATATCCACTCTTGCTTTTGTGCCCAAGACCCTGTGCATCTTCTGGCTCAAGGATCGAGACATAGCTGCTAATGTCTGTTTCACGCAGATGTTTTTCATCCATGGGACATCTGTCTTCCGATCAGCTCTACTTGTTGCGATGGCTTTTGACCGTTTCGTGGCAGTGTGTGAGCCATTACGCTACAGTACAATTCTGAGTCATTCTCTAGTTGGGCGTCTGGGATTAATGGCTCTGGCCAAGGGTGTGATCCTCATCTTGCCTATGCCTCTTCTACTTCAAAGGCTGACTTTCTGCCAAAGGGTCATTCCTCACACATACTGTGACCACATGGCTGTGGTGAAAATGGCTTGCAGCCACACTAGACCCAATCGGATCTATGGGCTCTTTGTGGTCTTGCTTGTGGTTGGACTCGATCTGCTTCTCATTGGCTTCTCCTATGCCCTCATCCTGCAGGCTGTGGTACGCCTCAACTCTCGAGATGCCACCTTCAAAGCCCTCAACACCTGCTCTGCCCATCTCTTTGTCATCCTTGTTACTTATGTGCCTGCCCTCTTTTCTTCCATCGCCCACCGCATCGGTCGCCACATTCCACCTCATGCCCATATTCTTCTTGCCAATCTCTACCTTCTCTTGCCTTCAATGCTCAACCCCATCATCTACGGTATAAAGATGAAGGAAATGAGGAAGAGGGTGGCCAAATGCCTATGCAGAAGAACTTCATAGGCTGACAACTGACAACACTTTTCTTCAACCATCTAAGACTTAGTTGTTTCTCCGTGTGAACTGTGCAAAGAATAGACCACAAAAAAATTATTTGCTTCACCTGCCCTTCCTTTCTTCCTTCTCTTTCTTTCCTCCTTCCTTCCTTCCTTCCCTCCCTCCCTCTTTCCCACCATCCCTTTTCCTCTCCCTCTCTCTCCTTGCTTTCTCCCTCCCCTTTTTCTTCCCCTCCCTCTTTCATTCACAAAGGGCTAATGTGTTTGTACTTTTATTGAGCTATGATCTTCAAAAGCAAGATCTTAAGGGATCTCTTTCTATGTGTATTTAACAAGGACAAGGACAGTACAAGTTCTCTGATGATGTTCACATCTGCATTCAAGTATATCAACTAGACACAAAGTTTCTTTCTATATAGAAACAGATTATCTTTTGTTGTCTTGATGGAGAGTTTGCATTGACACCTTTTTTGCTTTTTTTGGTATTTGCTATTGCTTAATGTGTGTGTGTGTGTGTGTGTGTGTGTGTGTGTGTGTATCTGTTTCTAACTAGTACCTTCTTTCTAAAGGAACCTGACACACTTTGTCTTTGCATTGCACCTTCACATGTAAAACCTCTTTAGACAATTGATTTTTATCATGACTTTTTAATTTAATAGGATTCTGATATTTTTCCAAAATGGGCAATGATGATACTTAGGATGAAAATGGAGGAAAATTGATGATGGATATAGATGAGATCCAGGGACTATTAAAAAGGAAAATGTGATAAGAAAGAATAATGGGGGGGTAGATTTCATTAAAGTACCATTGTATGCATGTATATAAATATACCAATGAGATACCATTGTATTAATTATATACTAACAATGTTTTTAAAAACACAGTGATGCCTGTAGCTTTTTGTTTGCCTGTAGCTCTTTATATTTCTTGAAAATTAATGGAATCTTATCAGAATAAATGACTTGAGAGTTTTCCTTGAGGACAACAAATCCTACATATTATGAGGTTTTGTATCATGAGAGAAAAATAGCTAATACTGCATGACACACTGTCCTATTCACAAAATATTATGAAATAGCTTAGTATTTGCCAATAAAGGAAGAAGAATCTGTTTCTAACTCTCTCACACATCTGTATTCCTTAAAGGCACAGATCAGTACACTTTTCTGAACATGTTTGACTTTTCAGTTAATGTAGTCGAGTTCACAACTAATCAGCTCTTCTACTGTAGTGCAATGAGAGTCATATAATGAGTAAACAAATTCCCCTCTCTTCCAAAAATTAAAAAAAGACCTTTATTTATACCAATAGACAGCAGATCAAATTTAGTGCAGGGGCTGTAATTTTCTAGCCTCTGTTCTAAAACCACAGAATCATTTATAAAAAATGAATAAGTGGAATCAATCTGAATGTCTATTAACATGGGGTTGGTTAAATAATACTACAAGACAGGTTTTTAAAAGTGAGATAAATTGATATATGCTATCATGGCTTGAGGTCAAATAGTATTCATTTAAACAATAAATTGTAAAATAGTATTTGTAAACTTGATTTCTTTTTTTTAATTTTATTTTATTGTAAAGACGCTGTACAGAGGGGTTACAGTTACATGAGTAAGGTAATGAGTACATTTCTTGTTGAACATTGTTACTCCCTCCTTTGTTTTTCTCCTACTATCCCTTCCCTCCCCCACTGATTTGTTTTTGCAGTAATAACACTTGCAGAATTTTTGTTTGCATAAAAAATATGCCTGAACAGACATGTTTTACTATGCTGAATGGTTTACCCTCCAAAATTCATGGCCATTCAAGACTTCAGAATGTGTCCTTATTTAGAAATAAAATAAATATTTGTAGTGTAATCAAGTTAAAATGAGCTGGTGATGCTGGATGAGAGGGAAACACAACCTAAATGACTGGCATCCTTGTAGGAAGAGGAGTATTTGATTCAAAAGGAGGATGGTATGAAGACATACCCACGAAGCATCAAAAGAGATGACAGAAGCAGAGGTTATTGATACACTTTCAAGGGAAAGCATGCCAATGATTGCAAGCAACCATCAGAAGCTAGGAGAGGCAAGGAAAGAGTCTCCCCAGTGCCATCAAAGGGAATCAGACCCTGCTAACAACTTGATTTGCAGTTAGTCTCCAGAACCATAAGAGGAAGAACAACAACAACTATTATTTTAAGCTGCCAAGCTGTTGGTTATATGTTATATCAGCTCTAAAAATCTCAAAAATAGATTAAAATACCTCCCAGACATCATCTGGTGGAAAGTGGGGAAGGGTTGTTTACATTCTACAAAATACATTTTAATGTTTACCATTTCTGTTGTGTATATTGATAACTACTCAAAATTGCTATGGTAAAAAGTACAAAGTGCATTGTCCCTTTGTTCTAATAACTCTATTTCTACCTGTTTTGAGTGATTCTTACTTTCTCCAAACGAATGAACTGTCAATACAGCAGCTTGCTTACATAGTCTTTTTTGTGTTAGTTTTTGGCTTTTGTTTTTGTTTTTACGACAAGGTCTCCCTAGGTAGCTGAGGCTTGAATTCATGATCCTCCTACCTGAGCCTAAGGAATGCTAAGAATACAGGTAGAATACAAGTACATGACACCACACGTAGCTTCGCATGTGAGCTTTTTAAACAACAAAGGTCTAGAAACAATCATCTGTCCATCAATAAGCAACTGCTTAAATGTATGTTAGCACTGTATAAGAAATGCTACAAAGCTTGGGAAAAAACATCTAAAATATGATAGCTATGGAATAATCACTAAGATATTATTTAGTAAATAGCACAGATTTTAACTGTTGTATTCTCATTTGTATAAATTGACAACTAGATTCAATTTTACCAACACATAATATTTATTTACTTTGCATGGCTTTTTTTTCATTCACGACTGAATCTCTTCCATTTGAGCGACATCTGGCTTTTGCTAGTTAGCTGGTAATTAGTCTCTCAGATTTGTGTGCCCAGGCTGATTTCAAACTGTAGTCCTCAGATCTCAGCCTCTCACCCCTTAACTTTACATCTGATTAACTGTCACAGTTTATATGACAATCTTGGAAACACCGACAAGGTTTGCTTCTATTAAAGTCATTGGTGCTTTACATGAGTACCTCTGGCCTACACTCCCTTGCTTCTGATGTCAACATCTTGACTTAACTTTAAAATAGTCTATGTCTATCCTCTCTCCTCATATTTTAGAAAGAACCAAATTTGAAGTATTTTTCTGTAGAATTATGACATATAGTTGCATGGAGACTTGCTTATTACTTTGAATATCCTACTACCTTGGACTATTTTATCAACCATATTTTTCTCAAAAAAAATAAAACGTGGATAATAAAATTTGAATGATAATACATTCTTATTTAGTTCTGCCCCAAAAATAAGACTCAGAACGTACTAAATACTCAGCCAATCTCTGATGGCTCATGCCTATAATACTAGCTACTGAGGAGACTGGGAAATGAGAGTGAGACCTAAAGCCAGCTTGGACAGATCATGTCTGATATTCTTATTTTCAATGAACAGCATAAAGCTAGAGCTAGAGGGCTGGGAAGGTGGCTTAGTGGTAAAGCGCTTGCCTTGCATGCATGAGGCCCTGGGTTCAATTCCTCAGCACCACATAAGCAAAAAGAAAAAAGCTGGAAGTGGCCCTGTGGCTCAAGTGGTA